TTATGAGGGGCTCCTCAGCCATCAATGTCACCCACAAGCCTTACGATAATAAAGTGTTCTAGTAGATGATGGGTCATGAACACTTTATGCAGTTTTCAGCCAATGAGCAGTAAATATATGAGCAATCACCTTGTACTACACTTCATACTGACATGTAAGTTGAAAGACAAAGAGGTCTATGTATAAAACATTCGTTGCCCGAATAACAGAAGCATTCATACAAATTGAACTGAAAATGTCCTGTATTCTTTCTAAGAGATTAATGCCTGTTTCGTCAGCTCCATCTAGTGGCCAAAATGTGCTTTCGTTTTCTTATTGAGGTATCACTGAAACCTATAGGACACTTTGGCCACTAGATGAAGTCAACGACAGAGGAAAAAATACAGGACATTTTATTCAACTTGTAGAACACTTGTGACATTCGTGCAACAAAGGTTTTATAAACTGACCCCAAAGTGTACCTCAACAAATGGCCCAAAGGCATTGTCCAGCATAAATCTGTCAATCTCTTGAGTCAAGATATTAAAATCGCTATTAAAACCTTAAAAAATTTCTTTACCTATGGTCACGTGACCATTAAAATCCTTGAGTATGACTTTTCTGGAGGCGACATCATGACGGGAAGTGAAAAACACTACAGAAATAGCAGCCCGCAGAATTACCATCCTCCACTATCTGAGGAAACGCGCATGTGCACTGGGGAAAGCACCAACAGTGCTGAATGCAGGAGTGGAGGAGCTGTGGGGGTGGTGCTCACTGTTGGAGCTCATACATGTACACTGGAAGAAGCACCAACACTGCTATAAGTAGGAGGACTAGATTTTTAGGGGAGTGTCCTTCAATGTCAAAGCTAGAGCGCCCGAGAAAACACCAACAATGTTGAAAGCAGGAGGAAAGGCTCTGCAGGGGTTGGCCCTCACTGTCAGAGCTTGTCCACCAAAGGAAGCACTGAATGTTGAAAGCAGGAGGGAAGGAGCTGTAGGGCTTGGCCTTTACTGTTGGAGCTTGTGAGCATGTGCATCAGAGGAAGCACTGACAGTTCTGAAAGCAGGAAGGAAGGAGCTGCAGGACGTTGGCCCTCAGTGTTGGAGCTTGTAAACCAGAGGAAACACTGACAATGTTGAAAGAAGGAGGAAGAGAAGCTGTAGGGCTTGTCCTTTACTATTGGAGCTTGTGCGCATGTGCACCAGAGGAAGCACCAACAATACTAAAAGCAGGAGGAAAGGTGCATCAGGGGTTGACCCTCACTGTCAGAGCTTGTGCACCAGAGGAAGTACTGGCAACTGAAAGCATGAGGGAGAGGAGCTGTAGGGCTTGTCCTTTACTGTTGGAGCTTGTGCGCATGTGCACCAGAGGAATCACCAACAATACTAAAAGCAGGAGGAAAGGTGCATCAGGGGTTGGCCATCACTGTCAGAGCTTGTGCACCAGAGGAAGTACTGACAATTTTGAAAGCATGAGGGAAGGAGCTGTAGGAGCTCCACTGGTCAGATCTTTTGCGCATGTCTGCTGGTGGAAGTGCTGACAATGCTGAAAGTAGGAGAGAAAGAGCCACAGGGGTGGCCCTCACTGTTGGAGCTTGTGCACCAAAGAAGTAAACAATGTTGAAAGAAGGAGGGAAGGAAGGAGCTGCAGGAGTTGGCCCTCACTGTTGGAGCTTGTGCACCAGATGAAGCACTGACAATGTTGAAAGAAGGAGGGAGAGGAGCTGTAGGGCTTGTCCTTTACTGTTGAAGCTTGTGCGCATGTGCACCAGAGGAAGCACCAACAATACCAAAAGCAGAAGGAAAGGCAAACCAGGGGTTGGCCCTCACTGCCAGAGCTTGTGCACCAGAGGAAGTACTGACAATTTTGAAAGCATGAAGGAAGGAGCTGACAATCCTGAAAGCAGGAGAGAAAGAGCTACAGGGGTTGGCCCTCACTGTTGGAGCTTGTGCACCAGAGGAGTCACAAACAATGATGAAAGGAGAGAAGGAGCTGCAGGGGTTGAACCCCACTGTTGGAAGCCGCTGATGATTTTGAAAGCAGGAAGGAAGGAGCTGTAGGGCTTGGACTTTGCTGCCAGGGTTGGCCCTCACTGTTGGAGCTTGTGCATCAGAGAAAGCACTGACAATTCTGAAAGAGGAAGGAAGGAGCTGTAGAGCTTGGCCTTTACTGTTGGAGCTTGTGTGTATGTGCACCAGAGGAAGCACCAACAATACTAAAAGCAGGAGGAAAGGCACACCAGGGGTTGGCCCTCACTGTCAGAGCTTGTGAACCAGACAAAGTACTGGCAATGTTGAAAGCATGAGGGAAAAAGCTGTAGGGGCTCTACTGTCAGATCTTTCTGCGCATGTGTGCTGGAGGAAGTGCCGACAATGCTGAAAGCAGAAGAGAAAGAGTTACAGGGTTGGCCCTCACTGTTGGAGCTTGTGCACCAAAGAAGTAACGAGCAATGTTGAAGGAAGGAGCTGCAGAGACTGGCCCTCAGTGTTGGAAGCACCCGATGATTTTGAAAGCAGGAGGGAAGGAGCTGTAGGGGCTCTCCACTGTGAAAGGTTTTGCGAATGTGTGCTGGAGGAGGTGCCAACACTGAAAGTAGGACGGCAGGAGCTGCAGGAGTTGGCCCTCACTGTTGGAGCTTGTGCACCAGAGGAAACACTGACAATGTTGAAAGCAGGAGGGAGAGGAGCTGTAGGGCTTGGCCTTTACCGATGGAGATTGTGCGCATGTGCACCAGATGAAGCACCAACAATATTAAAAGCAGGAGGAAAGGCCCTGCAGGGGTTAGCCTTCACTGTTGAAGCTTGTGCACATGTACACTAGAGGAAGCACCAACAATGATGAAAGAACGAGCTGAAGATCTGTAAGAGTTGGCCCTCCACTGTCAAACCCTGTGTACCTGAGGAAGAGCCAACAATATGGAGGAGCAGAAGAGACTGCCCTCACTGTTGGAGCTTGTGTACCAGAGGAAGCATCAACAACGATGAAAACAGGAGGGAACGACTGTGGGTGTTGGCCCTCTCTGTTGGAACTTGTAAGCCAGGAGAAGCACCAACAATGTTGAAACAGGAGGGAAGGAACTGTAGGGGTTCTTCACTGTGAGAGCTTTTGCTCCTGTGTGCCAGAGGAAGTGCCACCAATAATGAATGCAGGAGGAGAGGAGCTGTAGGGGTTAGTTCTCACGGTTGGAGCACGTGTGCTGGAGGAAGCACCAATATGGAGAAGCAGAAGGGACTGGCCCTCACTGTTGGAGCTTGTGTACCAGAGGAAGCATCAACAATGATGAAAGCAGGAGGGAACGACTGTGGGTGTTGGCCTTCTCTGTTGGAACTTGTAAGCCAGGAGAAGCACCAACAATGTTGAAACAGGAGGGAAGGAACTATAGGGGTTCTTCACTGTGAGAGCTTTTGCTCCTGTGTGCCGGAGGAAGTGCCACCAACCTGAATGCAGGAGAGGAGCTGTAGGGATTGGTTCTCACGGTTGGAGCACGTGTGCTGGAGGAAGCACCAACAAAAATTGAAGCAGGAGTTGAGAAGCTGCAGGGGTTGGCCCTCACTATTGGAGCTTGTGCTAGAGAAAGATGCTGAAAGTAGGAGGAAGGGGGGAGCTGCAGGAGTTGGCCCTCATTGATGGAGCATGTGTGCTGGAGGAATCTCCTACAATACTGGAAGCAGAAGGGGGGGAAGTTGTAGGGGTTGGCCCTCTTTGATGTGGGAGGATCTGTCATGGGGGTACAACGTGATGGGGTGATAGTTTAAGTACCTTAATCTTTCTATATTAGCATACTGTGCTCGAAGTGCAAAGACTACAAGAGGGAGAGCCAACAATGCTAACCAACCAGGCTTTACAGTGCTGCTAGTCTAACACAGAAGAATTGCTGACAGGAAGAGACAGTAGAATGAGGAACTCACTGATGCTACTTCATGGTAGACTGGGGGAGGGTCAGTGACCAAACTATACAGCTTAAAACAGACTTGGCATTAGATATATTTTTATATCAAGTGCACGCAGGCTAAACGTAGTATAGTCTGTGCCAGGGGCGGACTGACAACTCATGGGGCCCCCGGGCAATAGGGGATCATGGGGCCCCTGTGTCATCACCCACACTCAAACCACACCCAAAAAAGCCTATGAAAGGTACCAGGGGCATCTCATGGGACCCCCTACTGACCCCGGGCCCTCGGGCAGTGCCCGAGTTCCCAAATGGTCAGTCCGCCCCTGGTCTGTGCGTATTTATTATCTCCTCTCAAAGATGACAGTACTTCCCCCTGACTATGCCGTCATCTAATTTTCTCTCCAGAAAGACAGCACTCTCTTTACTCAGGCATCATTCAGGGACACAATCTGGACTGAGATCCCAGTTTGGAGATTGAAAATTGATTAAAACCTGGTTCCCGTACAGTGCTTGACTGAGTTCACAAATGTCTGACACCAGACATCAGCCCCCCGCTGTACACTAACTTTGTGACTTGCTACTAAAGTACAATGTTGCAGTCTGATCACAGGAGGAGAGGAGACTGAGGAAATGCATCTTCCTGCCTGCAGCAGTCTTAGGGTATTATTCTCCCAGACTGCACCTCCCAAACTGGGGGCACTCACTCATCCGGAGCTCAAAGACTGTGTTTTAATAATAAGAGCTACAGATTTCTTTTTAATGATGTGGTCATTGTATATTGAGAGATGTCAGAAATGTATTTATGCAGATTATTAAAGATTGTAAATAGTCTGTTTTAACTACAGTGAAGAAAGGTAAGGTCACCAACCCAGCTATACTATTGGCAGGGGTGCTTGGATAACAAGACCTGCTAAACAGAATCACCAATCCATCAACAGTTAATTCACATATTTATTGCTAAACCTGCAGCTTCAGCCATTTGCCTGGAGTTCTGCTGCAATCAGCCAACTCAAGTTTTGCAATTCTACACAAAAGGGACTCCTTTTCCATTTTTCATATACACCAAAGAACATTGAAGACCCCCCAGACCACACAGGTAGGAGACAGGAGAGACATAAAATACCTCTGCACTCGGTAAACTCGGGTCCATGGTGGAACGAGAGCCAAGATCCTGGCCACCAAGTCCACCAATGTGCTAGGTGAATAACTGCGGTATCTTCCGGTTTTCCAGAGCTCATAGAGGCCAGTACCACGGATGACCAGAGTCGGATACAGCTTCATGCCGTCTGGCCGGAAGGCGGGGTTTTCGAAGAATTCCTAAGAAAAAATAAAAAAGATATGAGATGGTCACAATAAAAAAGAAAAAAAAAAATGGAATTTAATCTATTGTAAACACATCATCAGACAAAAAAAGGGCCTTTGTATGGACAGTGTACTGTTCTACAATTCCTAATAGGTTGCAGGCACAGAGTACTACGTACAATCAAGAAAAAAAGGTTCCAGAAGTACATACTGTATGTAGATTGCCCTGTCAATGTGTCCCACTGCCACTTCCTTCCACATACTTGGCAGCAACTCCTGGCTGTCAAAATGACAGCCAGGAGTTGCTGTGTAACTACAGAAGCTGCTTTCCAAAACGGGCCATCTGACGCAGTGTTTATAAACTTTGCTTAAAAGATAGAGATACAGGGTACAATTGTTAAAGAACATTGATCAGATGGCAAATAGATACAAAATAACACGGTTTATAAACATTGATCAGACAGGGAATAGAGACATACAAAGCAGCATTCTATATAAACATTGATCAGACGGGATATATAGAGATACAATGTAACATTGTTTATAAACATCGATCAGACGGGAGACAGAGAGATAAAAAGTAACATTGTTTATAAACATTGATCAGACAAGAGATAGAGAGATACAAAGTAACATTGTTTATAAACGTTGATCAGATGGGAGATAGAGAAATACAAAGTAACATTGTTTATAAACATTGATCAGATGTAACATTGGAGTTGATCAGATAGAGAGATACAAAGTAACATTGTTTATAAACATTGATCAGACGGGAGACAGAGAGATACAAAGTAACGTTGTTTATAAACATCGATCAGACGGGAGAGATACAAAGTAACATTGTTACTTTTGTATCCACTCTGATTCTTTCATCTGCAGGTCAAAGAACCAGGGAAGTTATATATATTTCAGCTGTAAAAAAAAAATTAGCTTTTTGAGTGTTTTTGCAAGGAAGAGTGGGCAAATATTGCCAAGTCAAGATGTGCCATGCTGATAGACTCATACCCAAAAAGACTGAGTGCTGGAATCACATCAAATGGTGCTTCAACAAAGTATTAGTGTAAGGGTGTGCACACTTATGCAACCATATTATTTTAGTTTTCTATTTTTACTTCCCTCCACCTAAAAGATTTCAGTTTGTAGTTCAACTGAGTTGGACAGTTTATAGGTTACATTAAAAGGTGGAAAAAGTTCTGAAATGATTTATCTTTGTCTCATTTATTTACATCACAGAAACCTGACATTTTAACAGGGGTGTGTAGACTTTGTATGTATGTTTAAAAAAAAAAAAAAAACAGCCGGTCATGGGTGTCTCATAGGGTGTCCCACATCCCAGATTCTGTACAGGTGTGGGCGATGTACTTTTTAGTTCACTGGCCTGGAAATTTTAAGAAGCACACATTTATACTTCCAGAACGCAGATCAAACTGTCAGAATAATGTCACCATTGATGTACCCGGATCATAAATGGGCGATTTATCATCCCGCGGCTCTGCAGTTAATGTGTCTGTCACTTTTCTTGGCTTCATAGACATCAATTATACTGAAAGTGAGTGAAGACGGCAAAGTTTACATTTCCCCACGGGGAACCGCCATCACATCACAGCACCTCACATGAGCAGCCGAGGAATTAGTTCCCGCATTTACGCCGCTACAGACGGATTATATTACAGAGGCTGCTGCGTCAGAACCAAACCGCTTTGAATATGGAAATGGAATTTCATCAACAAGACCAACCAAAACTGGAGGGAGAAAAAAAAAATCAAAGCACAAAATGATGGTCAGGGATCTTTTTTTTTTATTATTATTCTTTAATAAAGCTGAAGTTTATTCTGCTTATATTTGATATATTTTTTTTTTCCTTCCCTGATACACCCCCCCTCCTTCCCCAATCATGAATGAACATCAATGAAATGTTCAAATAAAACCTTTCCATTGTCATTACACACTTTATTTTAGACTTTAGAGTGATGTCATCACAGGATCTCAGCGCTTCTCTATACATTGCAGGCAGATCATGGCTGGTTAAAGGGACAGGCAGGGTGCTGAAAAAGATCATAGCACCAGACCTGTAAGCATCACCTAACTGCAACAGAGAAAGAGTTTAGCTGTATGTGTGTGTGTGTGTATATATATATATATATATATATATATATATATATATATATACACACACACATATACATACATACATATATACACATACATTTGAGATATATATACACAGTTGTGTTCAAAATAATAGCAGTCAGACATCACTAACCTGATCAATCACTGTTTTTGGTAGAAATGATATTTCTACATGGCAAATAATTTACTAGCAGTGTAGTAGAGTAATAGAAATCCAACAGACCCAACAGTAATGACATGCATGCTGCTGATTCTGTGTAATTGAATCACTCATTGAAAGGGGCATGTTCAAAATAATAGCAGTGTGGAGTTCTATTAGTGAGGTCATTCATTCTTTGAAAAACAGGTGGCAATTATTGCCCTTATTTAAGGAAGGAAGGCAGCAAATGTTGTACATGCTGGTTACAGTGCATTTCTCTCTGAAATTCTGAGGAAAATGGGTCGTTCCAGACATTGTTCAGAAGAACAGCGTACCTTGATTAAAAAGTTGATTGGAGAGGGGAAAACATATAAAGAAGTGCAGAAAATGATAGGCTGCTCAGCTAAAATGATTGCAAATGCTTTAAATCGGCAACCAAAACCTGAAAGACGTGGAAGAAAGCGAAAAACTACCATTCAAATGGATAGAAGAATAGCCAAAATGGCAAGGACTCAGCCAACAATCAGCTCCAGGAAGATGAAAGAAGGTGTAAAGTTCCCTGTGAGGACTGTTACAATTAGAAGACACCTATGTGAAGCCAAGCTATCTGCAAGAAGCCCCCGCAAAGTCCCCACTGTTGAAAAAAAGACGTGCTGAAGAGGTTACAATTTGCCAAAGAGCACATTGACTGGCCTAAAGAGAAATGACGCAACATTTTGTGGACTGATGAAAGTAAGATTGTTCTTTTTGGGTCTAGTGGCCGGAGACAGTTTGTCAGACGACCCCCAAACACTGAATTCAAGCCACAGTACACTGTGAAGACAGTGAAGCATGGTGGTGCAAGCATCATGATATGGGGATGTTTCTCATACTACGGTGTTGGGCCTATTTATCGCATACCAGGGATCATGGATCAGTTTGAATACATCAGAATACTTGAAGAGGTCATGCTGCCTTATGCTGAAGAGGAAATGCCCTTGAAATGTGTTGTTCCAACAAGACAACGACCCCAAACACACCAGTAAACGTGCAACATCTTGGTTCCAGACCAACAAGATTGACGTTATGGAGTGGCCAGCCCAATCCCCGGATCTTAATCCAATAGAAAACTTGTGGGGTGACATCAAAAATGCCGTTTCTGAGGCAAAACCAAGAAATAGAGAAGAACTGTGGAATGTAGTCCAATCATCCTGGGCTGGAATACCTGTTCACAGGGGCCAGAAGTTGGGTGACTCCATACAACACAGATGTACAGCAGTTCTCAGAAACAGTGCGACTACAACCAAATATTCATTAAGTCATTCAAAGGAAAGCAAAATCTTCAAACATTTTTCAGTTTATATAGTGAATGTTTGAGTTTGTAAAGAAGAATACAAACACTGATATTTTTTGAACCGTCTAATATTCACTTTTCTTCAATTTTTTTAGAGGAACAACACAAATTTGATCTATTTTTCTTCATGTTTTGATTTGGAATAGAATGTGTCGTGTTCCCAATGCATTTGTGTGGATGGAAATAAAAGCTATTACATACACACACACGAGATATATATATATTTAGATATCTATCTATATATATATATATATATATAATATATATAAATATATAAATAAATATAAAAAAAAAAAAAAATATATATATATATATATATATATATATATATGGGCAAGCACTGGATCATTTAAAAGGAAATATTCTATGCAATGTCAGAAGTGTGGAGAAAACCAGTCCCATTGGGACGTGCGTCTTACACTCTAGTGACAGCTCAATTTATAAAAATGATGGAACGTCTCAGATGGGTAATACTGCGGGAGCGGCGGTCAGTCCCCTCCCGGTCCTGGCGGTGGCTGTCAGCCTTCTTTTCGTCTACGTTCCCCGACCAGTCAGCAATAAACCTTACAGGAGTTTCCAGTCTGCAGCCTTCTCATTTTTTTTTTTCTTACGGAAATCATTTCAGAAGCGCAGCGTGTGGGAGGACATCGAGCACCGCTGGACAAGCTGCTGAAGTTGTCATAATTCATTTCTCGGAAAAATGTGTATCTTTTCTATACACTTACATTAGGCACATTTTATTTTTTTATTTATCTGGCAACCACTTTGATTGCCTATTAAAGGCATCAGGAAAGTGCTGGCGCTAAAAAAATTAAATGCGAAAAAAATACACTCAAGAGAATTCTATTCAAGAATACAAAGTTAAAGTGGATGTTAAAAGGTAACTCCACTTTCACGCCTTAAAATCTGCAATATATTTTCTGAAAGCAGAGGCCGTGGAGAATATAATGGTGGTAGCTGCAATTTTTTTTTTTTTTAAGCGTTGTGATTTTGGCGCAACCATTTATCAATCACAAATTTCCTGGAAAACAATATGCTAAAATACATTTTTGCGTGCACAAAAACAATATTACCGTATTTTTCGCTCCATAAGATGCACTTTTTTCCCCCAAAAAAAGGGGGGAAAATGTCAGTGCGTCTTATGAAGCGAATATGGAGTGGCCTGTCCGGTATTTCCACCGCCGCCATGTCAGAATACCAGGCCGGCCGCTCAGCTTTTCTCTGCAGCAAAACCTTACCTGTTCCTTGGTCCAGCGCTGCACAGTCTTCCCGTGCCGGCTTCTTTAGTGTGGGCTCTTGGCTGTGACAGCCGGGTGCCCAATGTGCATGTACGAGAAGCGCTGCGCTTTGTTAATGGTACGGCGTCTTTTGGGACACATGACAGGTCTCAGAAGACGCCGGACCAATCACAAA